CTATTATTTTTATTAACACTGCTAATAATATCTTTACTACCCAAACATTGAAAACTGTGGATAACACCATATAACCACAGGACAACTGAGGACAAGATATGTAAGAATCACAGGCAATCTAGGAGTAGGGCAGTAACATGAATGATTTGAAGTGAGGAACAAAGATAAATACCAGTGATGGGCTAACACTTGAACACATGATAGGCATATTATGTTGTTGAATACAAAACTCAATATGAAAGACATCAATTCTCCCTAGGATAATCTAGAAACTGATACCAAGAAAAATACTGGCTGGAGTTTTTTTCTTTTTTTTTACAAAACTATACGAGCCATAAACAAAGAAGAATAAGGCCGGGTGTGGTGGCTCACGCCTGTAATCCTAGCACTCTGGGAGGCCAAGGCAGGCAGATTGCTCAAGGTCAGGAGTTCGAAACCAGCCTGAGCGAGACCCCGTCTCTACTAAAAATAGAAAAAAATTAATTGACCAACTAAAAATATATATACAGGCCGGGCGTGGTGGCTCACGCCTGTAATCCTAGCTCTCTGGGAGGCCGAGGCAGGCAGATTGCTCGAGGTCAGGAGTTCGAAACCAGCCTGAGCAAGAGCGAGACCCCGTCTCTACTATAAATAGAAAGAAACTAATTGGCCAACTAATATATATACAAAAAATTAGCTGGGCATGGTGGCGCATGCCTGTAGTCCCGGCTACTCAGGAAGCTGGCCTGGGCAACAAAGTGAGACTCTGTCTAAAAAAAACCCAAAAAACCAAAAGACAAAGAAGAATAGTCAGGACAACTCTGTAAAAGAGTAATAAGGCAAGGGTGAGGGTAGCCCAATTAGATATTAAAATATATGATTAAGTAAATTGTATAACTGAAGCCTGAATGGAAAGATCAACGGATCAGGTAAGAAAGTCCAGAAATAGACCAAATACATACAGGAATTCAGAGCAGGACAAAATACATGCAGTGGGGACAGATTATACAAATGATGGGACAACAAAGTAATCCTACCTCACACCTTATAAACGACATACAAAAACAAAACTAAAAACCCACAAATAGGCAAATTGTAGACCAAAGATTCAAAATATGAAAAGTTAAAAATTAATAGATAGGAAAATATTTTTAGGCTGGGTCCTAGCACTCTGGGAGGCCAAGGCGGGCGGAGTGCTCAAGGTCAGGAGTTCAAAACCAGCCTGAGCAAGAGCCAGACCCGTTCTCCACTAAAAATACAAAGAAATAGGCCGAGCGGTGGCTCACACCTGTAATCCTAGCACTCTGGGAGGCCGAGGCAGGTGGACTGCTCAAGGTCAGGAGTTCAAGACCAGCCTGAGCAAGATCGAAACCCTGTTTCTACTATAAATAGAAAGAAATTAATTGGCTAAATATACATATAAAAAAAATTAGCAGGGCATGGTAGTGCATGCCTGTACTTCCAGCTACTCAGGAGGCTGAGGCAGGAGGATCGCGTGAGCCCAGGAATTTGAGGTTGCTGTGAGCTAGGCTGATGCCATGGCACTCTAGCCCGGGCAACAGACAACAGAGTGAGACTCTGTCTCAAAATAAACAACAACAACAACAAAGAAATTAATTGGCCAACTAAAAATATATAGAAAAAATTAGCTAGGCAAGGCAGCACATGCCTGTAGTCCCAGCTACTCAGGAGGCTGAGGCAGCAGTATTGCTTGAGCCAAGGAATTTGAGGTTGCTGTGAGCTAGGCTGATGCCACGGCGCTCTAGCCCGAGCAACAGAATGAGACCCTGTCGAAGAAAAAAAAAAAAAGAAAGAAAGAAAATACTTTTATAAACTCAGAGTGAGGATGACTTTTATAAGCTTGATAATACACAAGTAAGTCATTAAATAAATAAAACACAAAATAAATCTATGTGGGAAATAACTTTTTACCACACAAGAACAAAAAAACACACCAGTTGAAAAAGCGCAAGGGAATAGGTTCTCATCACGCTGAGGGTAGGAATATAACTCTAGTATATCTTTGTAGGGAGGAATCTGGAAACAGCTATCAAAATTACAAATACATATTCTTTAAACCAGAGATTCTACTCTGAAGCCTCTTTTTATTATACATATGTACTTGCATGAGTATGACATTCTGTAATTATAAGGATAGTTTGTGCATCTTGTTTCTAATAGGAAAAAACTGGAAAATACCTAAATATTATAATACATTAGAACTGTATTATAGAATTGTACCCATACAATGAAGTACTATACAGCTATTAAAAAAGAATGAGGTTCAGTTAAAAGGCTGTGCTCAAGAAAAAAAATAAATTAATTAATTAAAAATGGAAAAAAAAAAAGAATGAGGTCCCTTTCTTTGTATTGATTTGTAAAGACATCTTTAAAAAGAAAACAAGCAAGGTATACATCAGTAGGTATGTATATTTCTCATTTATATGAAATCAGGAAATATATATGCCATTGCTTCTTTTTTTTTTTTTTGAGACAGAGTCTCACTGTTGCCTGGGCTAGAGTGCCGTGGTGTCAGCCTAGCTCACAGCAACCTCAAACTCCTGGGCTCAAGTGATCCTCCTGCCTAGCCTCCTGGGTAGGTGGGACTACAGGCATGCGCCACCGTGCCCTGTTAATTTTTTCTATTTTTAGTTGCTTGGCTAATTTCTTTCTATTTATAGTAGAGATGGGGTCTTACTCTTGCTCAGGCTGGTCTCGAACTCCTGAACTCAAGCAATCCTCCCGCCTTGGCCTCCCAAAGTGCTAGGATTACAGGTGTGAGCCACCGCACCCAGCCGCCATTGCTTCTTTATACATAAATAGTCTAGATGGGTATGTAATGACACTGTCAACATTGGTTGCCTCTAGAGAGGGAAAACTGGAACGGGGTTAATGCAAGGGGGCTGACTTACATTTTACTATATACCTCTTGGTACCATATGAATGTTAACTTATTCAAAAATTAGTAAAAAAAATGTTAACTATTAAAAAAGTATAGATTGTCCTTAAGAAAAAAGCATGATAGAATTTAGAGAAGAAACGGTAAATTCTGCTCAAAATCTATTACCTCTATTCAGCCACTCTGCAAGACCCATCTCAGACTCTGAGTCTGGCCTAACCAAGACAAGGCCCAAAAAGCTCTGCAGCACCTGCCTTGCTTCCCCAAGGAGAACAAATTCTCTTTCTACGTTTCTCTGGAAATACTGAGCAAAAAGAGATGACTAGGATTCCACAAAATTTACATGTTAATCTTTGGTTCACTGCTGAAACTGAAGAACTGGTCTACAAACCAAAACTAAAGGAATGGATAGAATGCTAAAAACCCTCTATATACTACCTCATTTTCTGCCTTGGTAATAGGGCAGCTAATGGAAGATAAAAATAGAAAAGATGAGAATATCATATGCAAATAGCCATCTTTAGCATTCTCTACTCACATAGAAAGTATTCCTTATTGGGTACAAATTCATGCACAGTACAAGCTTTACCTCAAAGAACAAGTCCATAGCATGCACAACACAATCTCATGATGAAGCCTCTCCAAAAGCCTTACTCGCTACTAAGACCAATTGGTGTTCTTTCACTTCTGCAGTTAGTAGCTGCATCATGCAAGCTGGGAAATGGTGATTAAGAAATAGCGTCATTTGTAGGCTGTTAAAAACCTCAAACGCAAGGAAATATTTTTTATGAAAGCCATGATTAAATGGTACATTTTTTGGGGAAAAAGGGTTATCATTTCTAAATCTTAAAGGAATCATCTTCTCAATCTCATTCCAATTACTTGTCTAATTAGAGCCTAAAAGGGTAAAATTATGAGGAACCCAATATAGGCAAGTTTTATGGACTAGACCAAAACTCTAACCCACATGCAACTATAGGCCAATGGCTATAGGCAACAAATTGGTCAAAGAATGTAGTTATATCACTGCAAGAATATTTTCTGCTACTAGAAACACAAATAGTCTGTACCTAATGGTCAGAGGCTATCATTTCCTCATAAAGAGACAGATTGTTTTCATTTCATCTAAAAGCAATTTGGATATACATATATATTTTTAAGAGACAGGGTCTTGCTCTGTTGCCCAGGCTGGAGTGAAGTGGTGTGACCACAGCTCATTGCAGCCTCAAACTCCTGGGCCCAAGCAATCCTCCCACCTCAGCCTTCCAAGCAGCTGGGACTACAGGTGCTAGCTACCATGCAATTTGGATACTTAATCCTATCAGCATAAGCTACATACATACTGCAAAAAATATCTCATGCACACAGCTAGACATGAAATGTTTTCTCCTGTGAGTCCTTATACCAAATCATGATTAAAATTTGGCTGTGAACTTTATACATAAGAGGCACAATTTTTAAAAAATTAAGAATAGTGGATGTGGCCAGGTGCGGTAGCTCATGCCTGTAATCCTAGCACTCTGGGAGGTGGAGGTGGGCGAATTGTTTGAGGTCAGGAGTTCGAAACCAGCCTGAGCAAGAATGAGATCCCATCTCTACTATAAATAGAAAGAAATTAATTGGCTAACTAATATATGTAGAAAAAATTAGCCGGGTATGGTGGCATATGCCTGTAGTCCCAGCTAATTGAGAGGCTGAGGCAGTAGGACTGCTTGAGCCCAAGAATTGCTGTGAGCTAGGCTGACGCCACAGCACTCCACTCTAGCCTGGGCAACAAAGTGAGACTCTGTCTCAAAAAAATAAAATAAAATATAAAATAAAATAAAATAGTGGATGGTGATAAGCCTTCTGCTAAACAATTCATTGTTTTAAATTCAACTTCCCCTAAAACTCAACGTTCAGTGCTGGGTAAAAAGACATGCAATCAAGTTACCTGCCTCCTTAAACTAGACACAATGCATGCCTTGGCTGCTGAAAAGTAGCGGTTATAGATTTTCATGCCAACAAACCAAGGATTAACAAGGATGATTAGAGTCCGATGGACTAAGCCACAAGCTCTTTGCCTTTTTGATGCTGATTCAAAACCCAAAAGCACACACATTTCCCCATGGCAGGTTCATACCACTGGACTTCAGTTGCTTAGATCTCTCTCGGTCCTGGATTGTAGACTTTGGCAAAAGTGGAGTAAGTCCTCGGGACTTGGTAGGTCTCATGTATCCTTTCATCGGTTCTACCATTCTACTTTTATCTTCTTTCTTCCCTTCTCTCAGTGCCTTTGATTCTGATTTTTCTGTCATTTTCTGAGGTGCCTCCAAAATCTTATCTTTGAGTCCTGGAAGCTGAAGACCCTTGGAAGCAGTCATGACTAACTTATCCACCATCCCTGAAGGAGAAGCTTCAACTCTGCTGTCTGATAAATCTGACTGAAGTTCTGAAGTTGACAAGGAAACACAGTCCAATCCTGTGATTTTACAAGCCAGATTAATTTCTTTCAGTTTATCCTTTTCATTTTTTAGAGGCAAAAGAGTCATATCTACCTCTTTATTCAAACTATCTGGGTTCTTGGTATTTTTATCTTCAGCATTTTGGTTTTCACAGAAACTGAGCTTTTGTGTTTTGTCTGTCAGTAAGTCAGGAACTTGAATAGGAGCAGAACCCTCCTCAGTGTCTTTCTCTTTGTTCACTGGATATGCTGGGACACTACCCCTATCTGCTTCTGGTACTTTGACCTCTCCTGGTAGGCTCTGGTCCTCTACTGACACTCCAGGAAGAAGGTGCCCTTTTGCTAGCTCTGTGACTTTCTCTATTGAATGCTTGGATGCACCATTATGCACTGACTCAGATTCTCCTACCACATGCCCTTCATTGATCCCTGCTTCATTTTTCAGGGAATCAGCAAGTTCACCTTTATTCTTAAGACAATGATCTCCCTGACTGTTAACTGTTTCTATGGCTGCTGTAAAAGGCAGGACAACTCCTCCTATGTTTGTAGAAGGCACAACAGCAGAAGGAGCCTTGGGTCTTTCTTGGCCTGGGCCTCCATCTTTCTTGCTGTTATCTACCCCTAATAATTTGGGAATATGGTCTGGGGCTATCTCTTGCCCACTTTTTGCCAAGGTGTCTAGAAAGGAATCATTTTCCTTTACTACTTGAGGAGCAGGAGTGGGTGCTTTTTCACAGGCTGGTGATTCCAGAGCCTTTAGAGGAGCTGACTTATTTATCAGCTCTGATGGTATTCTAGGACAGGTAAATGTAATATTTCTATTTTCGTCCACATAGCCCATTCCTCCAACTCTGTGGTCCCCTGTGGTTTCCATGGGAACATGTATTTTTGTTGCATCTATCTTATTCTCCAGAATGTGCTTCTCCGGGGAACTATTTTTAACCTTTTTACTTTTTCCATCATTACTCCTTTTATTTGGTTTGTCAGCCACTGCAATATGTCCCTTGGCTGCATCTGTCTTATTCTCCTTAGACAGTACTGAAGGAACAAATCCTGTCCCCTGGATTTGGTCTTGGCAGCTCACATCTGTCACCTTGGCAGCTGTTTCAATAATAGCAGAAGCCTTGACTGTATTTGTTTTGCTCCCCCCAAGAATTTCAAACTCAAAAGAATTAGCCTCAACATCTCCACCTTTTCTGTCAACTACTTCCACTGCAGGTGAATCTGATGTATGTGAGAACAAAGGATCATGCATTTTGGGGAAAATGAGGCCTAATTCCTTGTTTTTGTGGGGAATACTACCAGCATCTCCATCCTTCCCTACAGAAGGTGGTTTAAGAATTTCTTCCTTCCTCTCCACTCTAGCAGGCTGTGTGAAATAATTACTTTTAAATTTTTTGGTTTTGCCTTCATTGCCTCTCTTTTTAGGCTTTTCAGAAATCCAGGGAGCTGCCTCATGATCCATCCAAGGACATTTTTCTTCCTTGTTCTGGTTATTGACACCCATATCTTTGACTAAAGCTTCTCTTTCTGTCCTAACATCAGAAGTCTGAGTCATGCCTGAACCATTTTCCAAAGGAATTAATGGCTGGAAGGTGTTTGACCCTGTAGTGTGAGTCGTCTCCTTAGGCTCTCCCATCGCTACAGGGAGATCAGCCATGGTTCCTGGTTGCTTTGAGGAAGCCAGCCCCAGCTCCTCACTCTTATTCTGATTAGTCGTTCCTTCAGTTTTAGGGATTGGCTCACCTGGTACAAGAATGGCCCTTCCGTCCTTCTGGCTATCCAGAAGGAACGGCAGCTCAGATCTTGCTTTTGCCTTCCCAGAATTTGCTCTCACTTTCCCAGAACTTCCCCTTCCCTTCCTGCTTTTGCCATCACCTGCCATTCTCTTATGTGGTTCATTCTCTAGCCCAGGGACCTGCACTAACACCTGGCTCTGCAGCTGCTCAGAAGCAATGATGCCAATCTCTTGACTTTGCTTGGGAAAAGCTTCCTTTTTTAGTTCTTTATCCTCTTCAGCTCCTTCATGAAACTCTTTCTGTTTGACATTCTGCAGTTTAGTTGTTCTACTTTCATCATTCTCTTCTTTTAGGCTACTTTCTAATGGATTATAGGCTGTCAAAGTAGGTATCAAATTAAGCTGATCTTCTGCTATAGTGGGTTTTAAAACTATACCTACAACCTCTTGTCCCAAGACAGGAGAGCAATCCTCTTTGGGTATGATAGCCAAAGGAGTTTCTACTTTGTGTGCAGAAATTTCTGCCAGGGATCCTTTCAGATTGAGAGAGCCTATTGGCTGGCTTTTATCCACAGGAGCCTTTAGGAGGGGTTCAGGCTGTGGTTTGTACTCATCTTGCTTCAGCAATTTCTTGTCTTGGCTCTGTGGTATTGACTTGTTACCTTTGCCCTCTTCTTCTACTCTCAGGTTGGGCTGAGAATTTATCACAGTTTTTGGAGGTTCTTCTGAAGGACACAAAGGAACTCTGAGACCCTCCGAGACAAAGTTCTCATCTACCAGTTTGCCTGCTTTGGAGTGAACTACACGCTCCCTTTTCAAGTTTTCTCTGGGTACAAGTCCATATTCTGTGCCTGCAGTGGCAGACTGGCTGGGGAGAACACCTAACTTTTGTGTGTCAGCTGCAAAGGGATGAACTTTAGGCTCATCTGCATTATCATCATCCCAAGGTCCCCCAGCACGGGGTTGAAAATATCTCTTTTGTTTTGGTTTCTTCTTCTTTTTCTTCATCATCATTGGTATGCTTTGTATATCCCAGGCCTCCCTGCCAAGATCCCTCTGGGGTTCAAGTGAGTCAACATGAATAGTTTTCCTTTGATTCCTAGGCTCACCACAGGAAGATGAACCAGAGACCCAACCCAACTCAGATGAAGAGCAGCAGCCCAGCCTGGGATCAAGAGTCTTCTGTGGAGGAGAGCCTCCCAGCAGCTCAGGAGGGACCCTGGCAGGCTTAGGCTGAGCTGACCTGTGGTCACGGGGTCTGCAAACTTGTTTGGCTTGTGTGGAAGGGGTACCGCAATACATGAAGTTGGCTAAAATTCCAAACAAAAAACTCCTTATTATTGTTTCTTTAAAAAAAAAAAAAAAAAGACCATTTAATGACTCATTTAAGTAGCCTATTTTCGCCAATCTACATAAAACCTATAATTTGTTTACGAAAATAGTCTTTCAAAAAATATTTCTCACCCTTAACTGGGGTCAGCAAATATTTAACAGAGATCATCATCTCAGTAAAGATTTTTTTCAAATATACTTATAAAATATTTGAAATATTTCATTTCAGAAGTAGCAGGATTAAATTTAAAAACCTGAATATTTCAAATCTAACCTCTATAATAAATACTTAACATTTACTGTGTATAAATCTCATATGATTTATATTTGTCATTATTAGTGCTTATCTCTTTCTAGTGACATTAACTGCTTAAATTAAATACATATAATTTTAGACAGAATTTATAATTCTAAGAGACTGTCATCAATATAATACTAACACTTATCAAACTAACCAGACTAATTTTGAGAACTAGACTAGAAGGCCAGATTTCTGCTGCTTCAAAAGAAAAAGAAAAAAATATATATATTAAACTAAAATTTTGCCCAGAGAAAAATTCTCATCATTCTAAAACCAAAGCATCTTACTCTTTGAAAGACAAATGTATTAAATTTCAATGTTCTGCTCCCAAATGTACTTCTCAAACGACAGAAATATAGATAATGTTAAGTAGGTTAAAAAATTTCAACAATAAGGATGAGCACCTTTGGAAAAGGATCCGTAGGTTATCTGATTAACCTCCTGCCTCCAAGTCAATACAATATAGATATAAGATCCTGGAAAGAGTCTCAATAAGAGCAGATCTGCCAGCTCCTGTCAAGGTGACCCAATGAATTGATTTCAAAGAATATTAAAATAGGCCAGGCATGGTGGCTCACGCCTGTAATCTTAACACTCTGGGAGGCTGAGGTATGTGGATCGCTCAAGGTCAGGAGTTTGAAACCAGTATGAGCAAGAGCGAGACCTTGTCTCTACTAAAAATAGAAATAAATTAATTGGCCAACTAATATATATAGAAAAAAAAATTTGCCAGGCATGGTGGTCCATGCCTGTAGTCCCAGCTACTTGGGAGGCTGAGGCATCAGGATTGCTTGAGCCCAGGAGTTTGAGGTTGCTGTGAGCTAGGCTGACGCCATGGCACTCACTCTAGCCTGGCAACAAAGTGAGACTCCGTCTCAAAAAAAAAAAAAAACAACAAAAAAAGAATATTAAAATACTTCAATAGTACCTTTTGTTCTTGTCCTTACCCTCCCTTGTCCTAAAAATTCTACCCTTTTTTTTTGGTTTGTTTTTTTTTTTAGACAGAGTCTCGCTTTGTTGCCCAGGCTAGAGTGAGTGCCGTGGCATCAGCCTAGCTCACAGCAACCTCAAACTCCTGGGCTCAAGCGATCCTCCTGCCTCAGCCTCCCGAGTAGCTGGGACTACAGGCATGCGCCACCATGCCCGGCTAATTTTTTTTCTATATATATTAGTTGGCTAATTACTTTCTATTTTTAGTAGAGACGGGGTCTCACTCTTGCTCAGGCTGGTTTTGAACTCCTGACCTTAAGCAATCCGCCCGCCTCGGCCTCCCAGAGTGCTAGGATTACAGGCGTGAGCCACCGCGCCCGGCCTGGTTTGTTTTTTTGAGACAGAGTCTCTGTCACCTGGACTAGAGTGCAGTAGTGTTGTCATAGCTCACTGCAACCTCAAACTCCTGCGCTCAAGCAATCCTCCTGCTTTGGCTTCCTGAGTAGTTGGGACTGCAGGTGAGCATCACCATGCCTAGCTAATTTTTCTATTTTTTGTAGAGACAGTGTCTCACTATGTTGCTCAGGCTTATATTAAACTCCTGGCCTCAGGGTATTCTCTCACCTTGGCCTACCAAAGTGCTAGGATTACAGGTGTGAGCCACCATGCCCAGCCAAAATTCTACACTTTATTTAATATCTCCGGTTAATTACTGTTTCTTTCAAAAAATTGCTAGGCTGCAACAGCCAAAAGTATTTACAACATTTAATTTGGCAATTAATCAGTAGCTATTTGGTGCAGTCCCTTATACTATTTTATTCAATTATCATGTAAACCTTTGGTTTCAGAGTTCATGCCTGGGAACTCCTCTCTCTATCCAGGTTATAACAGAATAATTCAAGGGCAAGGACCAGTACCTTAAATATCTATGTGCTTTAACATGGGATATTTTGTACACAACAAGCAATTAATAAATCTTTACTGATATGCTGAGTCAGCAAAATGGTGTTTTTTTTTTTTAAAAAAAAGCCCAAACATTTATTTAGCTTTTGTCTTGTACCAGACAGTATACAAAACAGTAGGGAGTAACAAGTCATGACCCCTGCCCTCAAGGAGTTTACATTTCAATCATAGTCACAAAAAATTATCAAGTTGATAATGAAATGTATACTTTCTAGCTTATCATCAAAAACATATAATCTTAAAATTCATTGAATAATTCAACTTTAAGTTGGAAAGTACCTTAGAGTAATACCTCTCAAAGTTTATTTCATATAAAAATTATCTGGGGATCTTGTTAAAATGCAGATTATGATTAAGAAGGTCTGAGGTACAGCCCAAGATTCTGCATTTGTAACAGGCTCTCAGGCAAAGCAGATGCTGTTGGGCCACGGAATACACTGCAACTAGCAAGGCTTTACAGAACATTTGACCAATTTATTCATCTTATAGCTGAGTAAACTAAGATTTGACCATATAGCATGAAATAGTGAACAGCTACTAGACCAAAATTTAGGAGTCCTGAGTTGATATAGTGGTAATTTTTAAATATATTAATAAACTTTCTGTTTAAACATGATGAACTCTAAGAAAGAAAACTGACTTTATAAACTATACTGCTGATTACTACCATACAACCAGGGAACTAGAAACAATCTTGCTTCGAAGAGTTTTCCTAACTTACCTGAGGTCTCTGAAGAAAGTTCAGAAGGTTGACTGTTGAATGGTTTCTTTTGCTCTAGTTTTTCCAACACAAACTCCTCCTCTGTTGGCAAGTTGTGCTTTTGGCCCATGGCTGTGACTGGTTCTAAAGGTAATAGTAAAAACCACATATAGATTAGCACTATTTCAGTTATTTTTTTACCTGCCAGAAACTGGATATGGGAATCATTTCTAAGAAATTCTCCCATAAGGGGAAGCAGAGAAGTGGAGTGGCAGTTGGAAGATGGAGTTGTTGGGAGGGTTTTGTTTTTTTCTTAAGATGAGAAAAATAACAAATGTTTCTAAGTTGGTGGGAATGATCTGATGGAAAGGGAATTAAATTGATGACAGGCAAAATGGGGAAGAACGTTTTGCGCAATATACTTGAGCATGAAAGAGGAGATGCAATCTAGAGCAAAATGAGAAGTGAGGTTGACTTTAATTAGGAGCAGGAACACTATATAAAAACAGTAGAGAAGGCAGACCCTATGGATACTGATACAAGTGGTTGGGTAAATAACGTAATAGAAGTTTGTGGATGTTTTATTTCTTAAATTACCTGGAAGAAAAACAGGAAGAGCAGCAGAGATTGAGGATGGACAAAGTGCTAGAGGTTGGAGAAGGGGAAAGGTGAGAAAAGTATTGTCTAGGACAGTAGGAGTATGAATAAATTTGCAAGGTACAGTGTGACTCTATTTTACCTGGCATAATATGTCTGTCCTTAGTTTTTTGGAGACTACACCTTGGTAGACAGAAATACTGATAGTAGGCATAATAAGCCCATACCTGGTGAAATCATGAAGGCAGGTGCAGCTGACTGGTCCTCATCCTGGAGAGATTCTAAATGGGAATCCTCAGTTATTCCTCCTTGTGTCTCTGCAATTTCCGTGTCTTTAATTTGAACATGTGCCACTTCTGTTTCTGAGAGTGATGCAACATCCTTGGCTGGAGTCACATTGTTGGCCAGGGTCACCTCTGTTCCAGGGGGCAGAGCCACATCCTTAGCGAGGGCTACCTCTGTTTCTTGGGGTGGAGTCAGGTCCTTAGTAAGGGACACCACTGTTTCTTCTGGAGGCAGACACATGTCCTTGATGGAGGCTACTTCTGTTTCTGGTGGTAGAGTCAAATCTTTGACTTGGGCCACCTCTGTTTTTGGGGATGGTGTCACATCCTTGCCCAAAGCTATTTCTATTTCTTGGGGTTGGGCCATGTCCTTGAATGAGGCCACCTCTTTTTCTGGAGACAGAGCCACATCCTTGCCCAGAGCCACCTCTGCTTCTAGGGGCAGTGCTGTATCCTTGGTCAAGACCACTTTGGTTTCTGGGGCAAGTGCCATGTCTCTGGCCGGTGCCAACTCTGTTTCTGAGGACAAGGCCACCTCCTCAGCTGAGGGTATTTCTGTGGATGATACAATGTCTTTAGCCACCGCCACATCTATTTCTGAGAGTGATACCACACCCTTGGCTGGGGCTAGTTCTCTTTCTTTGGGTGGTGCCACATCCTCAGGTGTGGCCAAACCCATTTCTATAGGTGCTTCCCTCTCTGTTTCTTTGAACAGTGTCACATCCTTGGCTGGGGCTACCTCTGTTTCTGTGGGCAGTATAACATCCTTGGTCGAAGACACATCTGTGTCTATGGGCCATACGGCATCCTTAACTGGGGTCACCTCTGTTTCTATGCATAGTCCCATGTCCTTGACTAGGTCTGTATCTGATTCGGTGGATGGCAGCATGTCCTTGGCCACTGTCACATCTGATTTGGTGGGTGATCCCACATCTTTAGCCAATGCCACCTCTGTTTCTGTGGCTGTTGCCATGTCCTTGGCCAGGACCATCTCTGTTTCACTAGATGGTGCCATGTGAGTAGTCTTCCTTCCCATCATTTCCAATGCTTTTGTTGGTGGCCTCTCTTCTTCTAATGCCATTTCTACCTCTTCGGCTAGCTCTAAGGGTAAAAAGTTGAAAATTTAGGATCCATCATTGTCTACTTCATACTTCTTCATTCATAACTTACCTTCTTAGGGCACAGGAGTATTTGGCTTTTTTTTTTTTTGTAAGCATGAAATGAAGTTTATGGAGGAAGAGCAAGATAGGTTTACAGAGCAAGAGCAAGATACATTTGCCATAGATGACGAATAGGTGTGTATTTGGCTTTTGTGACCACAGGACCCTAAACCCATAACTAAGAAGCTGTCAAGCTAATGTATTCTGTCTACTTTTGATAGTCCTAACACTTAAGATATAAGATACTGAGAGGATTAAGTAATAGAAAAGGCAAAGGAGATAACACATAGGCTTAAAAAAATAACACAGATACAGAATTACCGTAGTATTAGAAAGGGAACCTGTGGGAGAGCAGGTCAGTCATCCTTCCTATCAAGAAAACCCCAGGCCAGGCACAGTGGCTCACGCCTATAATCCTAGCACTCTGGGAGGATGAGGCAGGCGGATTGCTCGAGGTCAGGAGTTCGAAACCAGCTGAGCAAGAGCAAGACCCCATTTCTACTAAAAATAGAAATAAATTAATTGGCTAACTAATATATATAGAAAAAATTAGCCGGGCATGGCGGCGCATGCCTGTAGTCCCAGCTACTCGGGAGGCTGAGGCAGAAGGATTGCTTGAGCCCAGGAGATTGAGGTTGCTGTGAGCTAGGCTGACGCCATGGCACTCACTCTAGCCTGGGCAACAAAGCAAGATTCTGTCTCAAAAATAAATAAATAAATAAATAACAGCCCAGAGTTCTAAATCTGTACTGAATTTAAAAAGAATTTTCTTTGCCCATTAACCCCCAGTGTTGTATCTCAACTACAGTTTTATTCCCCTAGCTGTGACATCACTAATATAAGCTTAAAAGAATTTGTGATAGTTCTAAAATGTTTACCTATATTTGCTGTAAACTACTAAAAAAATACATCTGATGATTTATATTGATCATTAATAGTCCAAGCATTAACTGACAAAGGAGGTTTCTAATAATTTACCTGGCGTTGGCTGCAGAGGTTCCGTAATGGCCTCTCGGGAAACAAAGGATTCTGAGTGTGGAGAATTTGGGGCTTCCACAGACCACCCCTGAGGTACAGCAGTTGCAGGAGCAAATGTGTCACAGGGAGACATACCTAATATTGAAACACAAATAAACACATTTTTGAAACTTAGTCAATATTGAAAACAAAATGCATTTGATATTTAAGACACAGACCTAAGATCAATAAAAAACAAAGCACAAAAGTTTTAAAGGAAACACTGCTGACATTCTTTAGGTTTTGGCTAATTGTTAACAGGAGGTATAGTATCAATATATCCTGGTAGCATCATTAATCAACATTTATTGGCCACCTTCTACAGGGTATTGTAAAGATTCAAAATACCAAAGATTGAGTTCTAGTTCCAATACCACAATCACTGTACTAGTGTATAGTAAGGAATTGTATTTCTTCCAACATGTGTATTTGGAAAAAAAGAAAAAAGGGGGAATTGTAAGCCTTAATTTCTTCATCTGTAAAATGAGACTAATACCTCCCTTTCCCAACAATTTTATGAAAATACTTTGTATATTAAAAACTAGACAAATGTAAAAGGATTATTATGTTGTCCTATGCCAGACACAACAGAGGATTTAATATCACAGGGTCTCTGTCATTGAGCTTATTACAATTTAGCTAGAAAGGTATGGTTGACATATATCAAGTAACACATACTGTACAGTGCTATAGGATTTCAAAAACAAGCATGACAACCAGAATAATCACAGAAGGCTTTAGAGGAGAAGCAAGAGCAATAGAGGTGATGGTAGTCAATTTAAAAGATAACGATAAGGAAAGGAAAGCATAAAGATGTCAATAGGACGAGAATGTTTCTGGAACTATTGAGATCAGTTTGAGTCAAACAGATCTTGCATACTAGAGAGTAAAAATAGGATTAGAAAAAGAAAAAAGAATATTGAAAGCCAGTCAGAGAAATTTAGACTGGAAGGGAGAAAAAAAAAGTTTTTTAAATTCCTTTTTTTTTGAGACAGAGTCTTAGTAGAGATGGGGTCTTGCTCTTGCTCAAGCTGGTCTCAAACTCCTGAGCTCAATCGATCCTCCCACCTTGGCCTCCCAGAATGCTAGGATTACAACAGGCATAAGCTACTGCCATGGCCTTGAAGTCTTAATTATGGAAATGAGAAGATAAATGTAGAAAGGAGTTCAAAAGGATCAATTTAGCAGGTATAGTCATAATGGATTAGAAAAGGGAGCAGGATCTGGGTGCAGAGGCTCATGCCTATAATCCCAGTGCTTTGGGAGGCTGAGGCATGTGGAAGGACTGCTTGAGGCCAGGAGTTCAAAACCAGCCTGGGCGACATAATGATACCATCCCCTCCTCCTACCAAGGGAAAAAAAAAGGAAGCAGGAAGGCTGATTTAGAGACTACTTGGGCAGTCTACATAAAAAGTGATAGGTGATTACATTGGGGAAAAGCAGAGGAAATATAGAGGAAGAGAAGAAAGATGCTATAAGGAAAAAAGTCTGTGCAAGTACATGACTCAGGAGATTAGATGGATAACATCAATAGTCAACTCATTTAACATCCTTTTTCCAAGAGATCTTTAGTCCATAGAAAAGCATAAATAAAACATATCATTAGGCCTAGCACAGCAGCTCACACCTACAATCCTAGCACTTTGGATGCTGAGGCAGGAGGATCGCTTGAGCCCAGGAATTTGAGACCAGCCTGGGTAATAGTAAGATCCTGTCTCTACAGAAATTAAAAAAAAAATTAGCCAGGCATGGTGGTTCGTGCCGATAGTCCCAGCTACTTGGGAGCCTGAGGCAGGAGGATAACTTGAGCCCAGGAGTTGGAGGCTACAGTGAGCTATGATTGTGTCATATACTCCAGCCCAGGCAATAGAGCAAGACTCTGTCTCTAAAAAGAAAACAAATCATTAGCTAGTATCTTTAGAAACACAAAATTATAAGCATTGTTTGAATGATGTGTTAATAAGTCCCTGGTCGCATTTATGTTAAAAGTTACACAAAACCAGGAATGGGATACTAGTATTTATTGATAACTAAAATCTGTTTAATGTTTACTATGTAGCAGACACTAAACTCTTATACCCTCAACATCCTTAAATTAGGAATTAGTGCTGGTTCAATTTCATAGATAAAAATCCGAAATTTAGGGAGGAAGTAACTTGCCCAAGGTCAAGAGCTAATAAAACGTAGACAAAGAATTTGGCCCTAGGTTATAGGATTCAGGGTCCTATGAGAGAACAGTCAGCAGTCCCTGAATAGCCCAACTGTGAATTCTTTCCATTGTGATCATTTGGAATTAAGGAATTGTGGAAGACCAGAATATGCCATCCCAAAATATGCCACTTTGATGTATTATTTTGAGCTGAAGCCTTGAGACAGCATCACAGATACCTATATAACAAACTTTACTAATTAGCCTTTATCTACCATTTATGTACCATAAAGGCTAATGGTAGCCTTTATCTATCATTATGTGCTACCATTTGTAGCCCCTAGAGACTCCTTTTCCTTTTTCTTGTCACTTCTCAAAAATCTTTTCTCATTCTTTGTTGAAGATTTTGTATATAATCTGGAGTTCTAAAGCCACCTCTTGCAGAATTACCCATTCCCTAAGTACCTCCCATGTATATATGAAATACACATGTTAAACTTTAGTTTGCTTTTTCTCTCACTAATCTGTCTTTTGTTACAGGGGCCCCAACCAATAAACCCAAGATGGGTAGAAAAAACATTTTTTTTTCCTTCCCTACAGAATAAATTCAGTTGGGGAAGCCATACCATAATTATCCTTCAGTGGATCATTTTGTCCTATAAATGCTGAAGCATTGGCTGTTCCGCTGGAGAGAAAGAACAAATCTGCCAGGCCATCATCATGGTGCATCTTAAAGGGATCTGGAAAAAAGAAGAAATACAAAACTCATTTCCAGTGAGTGCAACTAGAAAGATTAACATTTCTTATTATCCTATGATAAATATCTATTAGCTACATATATGTTGTCAATAGCAACTTAAACAAGTTGAGATCAAATGTGACTGCACATGGTAAGGAATCAATTAATACTCATTTGCCAAGAACAGTGGCTAATGCCAGTAATACCAGCATTTTGGGAGGCCAAGGCAGGAGGATTTCTTGAACTCAGGAGTTTGAGACCAGCCTGTGAAACATACTGAGATCCTTCTCCACAGAAAAAAAAAAAAAAAGGAAGGGATTGCTGGGCCTGAGAATCTGCATTTCTAACTCTGTTCCTTAATGATGCTAATGAATCACTCTTTAAGGCACTACTGTTGTCAGAGGCAGCTGCATAAAAGCTCAGACCTTGAATGTTTATTTCCTTGGCTCTGAGGAAGCTATACCACCCTTTTAGTAAGGAATTTCAGGATTTGGGGAGTATGAATAAGCAGAAGGCAAAATTGAGAAAGTGTTGGTGACAGAGGAGGCCCCAATGCTTCTTCAGAAAAGCAGGAGAGATAGAACATGAGAGAGATTATAAATACTCATTCTCTCCAGTTCTATATGGTTTAGGGTAACTGCTGCTTACTTTGCCTTTCATATGTCCCTTGAAGAAAATAGGATGCTTAAAGCATCAGAGTAAGTGCTGTATGATTTATACTCAGGATGGCAGGCTGCTAAATCACATGCAGAAATGAATCATTTCTACAGTGTTCTGTCAGTTAGTCATTAATTTTTTATTGGGTGCCTACCATGTGGCAGACCCAGCGTGCTCTAAAAGCTCAAAGATGTACAAGGTCAGGGATAGGAACATTTAGCAGAGGGGTATATTTTGGGTCAAGTCAAAGAAGATCTTCTCCTGGTAAATACTTAAGCTGAAAACTGAAGAACTGAGTCATTATGGGGAGAGGAGAAGGCCTTTTCTCTATCAACATTCTCTCTCATCTGATCTCACAGTTTAAAACTTAAAATAGGTTGATGACATCCAAATGTTTAACTCTAGCCCTCTAGACCTCTCTTCATTTTTTCAGACTTTTATGTCAAATTTCCAACTTTTTTTTTTTTTTTTTGAGACAGAGTCTCACGTGTTGCCCAGGCTAGAATGAGTGCCGTGGCATCAGCCTAGCTCACAGCAACCTCAAACTCCTGGGCTCAAGCGATCCTCCTGCCTCAGCCTCCCGAGTAGCTGGGACTACAGGCATGCGCCACCATGCCCGGCTAATTTTTTCTATATATATATTAGTTGGCCAATTAATTTCTTTCTATTTATAGTAGAGACGAGGTCTCGCTCTTGCTCAGGCTGGTTTCGAACTCCTGACCTTGAGCAATCCACCCGTCTCGGCCTCCCAGAGAGCTAGGATTACAGGCGTGAGCCACCGTGACCAGCCCCAACTTTTTTTTTGAGACAGGGTCTCACTCTGTTCCTGGGCTAGAATGCAATGGTGTGATCATAGGTGGACCGCGCCCACCTGGCCTTTCTCACCATTTCTATTCAATATTGTAATGAAGGTTTTAAGCCAGGGCAATTAGGAAAGAAAAATAAATAAAAGACATCCAGATTAGAAAGGAAGAAGTAAAACTGTTATCTGTAGATGACATGACCTTATATATAGAAAATTCTAAGAAGTCCACTTAAAAATGATAAGAATTAATAAATGAGTTCAGTAAGGTTGGAAGACATAAGATCAATAAGCATAAATCAATTATAGGCCGGGTGCAGTGGCTCATGCCTGTAATCCTAGCACTCTGGGAGGCCAAGGTGGGTGAATTGCTCGAGGTCAGGAGTTCAAAACCAGCCTGAGCAAGAGCGAGACCCCGTCTCTACTAAAAATAGAAAGAAATTAATTGGCCAACTAATATATATAGAAAAAATTAGCCGGGCATGGTGGCGCATGCCTGTAGTCCCAGCTACTCGGGAGACTGAGGCAGCAGGATTGCTTGAGCCCAGGAGTTTGAGGTTGCTGTGAGCTGGGCTGACGCCATGGCACTCGCTCAAGTCTGGGCAACAAAATGAGACTCTGTCTCAAAAAAAAAAAATCAATTATATTTCTATCTCCTTGCAATGAACAATCTGAAAATGAAATTAAGAAAATAATTCTATTATATTATCAAAAATAACTAAATATTAGGACTAAATTTAACAAAGTGTAAAACTTATACTCTGAAAATTCAAGGTATTATTGAAAGAAATAGAATATAAATAAATGGAAAAACATTACATGTTCTTGGATCAGAAGACTTAGTATTATTAAGATGGCAATACTCCCCAAATTATTAATCTACAGATTCAACACAATGCCTATCAGAATCCCAGCTGACTTCTATTTAGAAATTGACAAGCTGCTTCTAAAATTAATGTGGAATTACAAAGGACCCAGAATAGCCAAAACAATGTTGAAAAACAAGGACAAAGGAAATGCACATTTTCCAACTGCAAAATTTACCAAAAGAAATATTGTAGCAGAGGTTCAGCATACAAAGTCCAAAAATTTGAAATCTGAAATGTTCCAATATCTTAAACTTTGAGTGCTAACATGATGCTCAAAGGAAATGCTCATTGAAGCACTTCAGATTTTTGGATTGGGGTGCTCAACTAGTAAATATAAAGCAAATATTCCAAAATTTGAAAAAATGTTAAATGTAAACACTTCTGGTCCAAAGCATTTAGGATAAGGGATACTCAACCAGTACTGGCATAAGGATAGACATAAAAATGAATAAAATGGAACTAAGAGTTGAGAAATAAAACCATGTGTCTTTGGTTAACAGATTTTCAACAAGTGTACCAAGACCATTCAATAGGGAAAGAATAGATTTTTTTTTGAAAAATGGAGATAGGACAATGGATATCCACATACCAAAGAATAAGTCTGGACCCATAATTCTCACCATGTATAAAAATCTACTCATAATGAATCAAAGACCTAAATATAAGAGCTACAAATAAAATTTTTTTTTAATGTCAGCATTTTATGGGGGTACAAATATTGTTAAGGTTACATATATTGCCCTTGCCTCCCCTGTCCCCCTGAGTCACAGCTTCAAGCGTGTCCATCCTCTAGGTGATGTGCATCACACTCATTATGTATGTATATACCCATCCCTTCCTCCCCACCTTTTTTTTTTTGAGACAGAGTCTCAGTCTGCTGTCCGGGCTAGAGTGCTGTGGAGTCAGCCTAGCTCACAGCAACCTCAAACTCCCGGGCTCAAGCAATCCTCCTGCCGCAGCCTCCCAGTAGCTGGGAGTATAGGTATGCGCCACCATGCCTGTCTAATTTTTTCTATATATATTTTTAGCTGTCCAGCTAATTTCTTTCTATTTTTTTTTTCCAGTAGAGATAGGGTGTCGCTCTTGCTCAGTCTGGTCTTGAACTCCTGAGCTCAAACGATCCACCCACCTCACGCTCCCAGAGTGCTAGGATTATAGGCATGAGCCACCACGTCTGGCACTAAAACTAAAATTTTTAGAACAAAACATAGGTGTAAACCTTCATGAACTTGGATTTTGCATCAGAGTCTTAGATATGCCACCAAAAGTATAAGCAACAAAAGAAAAAAGTAGATAAATTGGACTTCATCAAAATTAAAAGTTTTATGTATCAAGAAAGTTAGAAGACAACTGACAGAATGGGAGAAAATATTTGCAAATCATATTAAGTTTGATAAGGATCTAGTATCAAGAATATATAAAGAACTCTCATAGCACAACAACAAAAGGAGAAATAACTCAATTAAAAAATGGGCAAAGTCTCTGAATATACATTTCTCTAAAAACATATATAAATGGCCAATAAGCACATGAAAGGATGAAAAGATATTCTACATTATTAGTCACCAGGAAAACACAAATCAAAATCACAACATGATACCATTTCATACCCAGTTTGGTTGGCTAAAATTTTAATTAATTAATTATTTAGACAGGGTCTCATTCTGTTGCCTGGGCTGGAATGCAGAGGCATCATTAGAGCTCACTACAACCTTAAACTCCTGGCCTCAAGCAATCTTCCTGCCTTAGCCTCCTGAGTAGCTAGGACTATGGGGTGCACCACCATGCCCAGCTAGTTTATTTTTTGTAGACGGGGTCTTGCTATGTTACCCAGGCTGATCTCAAACTCCTGGCCTCAAGTGATCCTCCTGCCTCCGCCTCCCAAAGTGCTGGACTTACAGGCATGAGCCACTGTGCTCGGTCTGGCTACAAGTTTTAAAAAGAGAGGAAAATAACTGTTGGTGAGTATTTGGAGGAACTGCAAACCTCACACATTACTTGTGGAAATGTACAATGATGCAGTTGCTTTGGAAAACGGTGTAGCGGTTCCTTAAATGATTAAAATTGCCACATGATTGGCAATTCCAATTTAGGCATATATGCCCAAGAGAAATGAGAACATATATCTACACAAAAATTTGTACACAATATTTACAACAGCATTATTCATAATAGCCAAAAAAGATGGAAACCACCCAATGTCATCAGCTGATGAACGAATAAACAAAATATGGTATTTCCATACAATGGAATATTATTATGTGTCCATAAAAAGAAATGAAGTACTGATACATGCTATAAAATACATAAACATTAAAAACATTATGTTAACTGAAAAAAGCCTGTCAAAAAAGATCATATATAGTATGATCTCATTTATATGAAATGTTCAGAATAAGCAAACTTATGCATACATAAAGCAGATTAGTGGTTGCTTAGGGCTGGGCTGGATAGGAAGATAGGGGGTGATATATAAAGAGTACAAGGTGATAAAAATGTTCTAAAATTGACTCTGGTGATAATTGTATATAACCGTGAATATACTAAACTCTACTGAATTGTATGCTTTAGATGGGTATATTATATGGTATGTAAAGTATATGTCAATATAGCTTTTTTTAAAAAAAAAAAATCACATAGTTAGGAAAGCCAATAATTGAAGAATAGTACAGAACATCAAGTACTAGGTCATTTGGAACCAACTACAAGCATCTTATAAGCTATATAGCAATAAAGAAGCCATATATAAGTGGAAACAAATAACGAGCTCTCAACTTGACTGAAGTAGCAATGCTACTCGTTGGAAGACTCTTTGCAATTCATTTCTCCTATTATATTACTTCCAGCTCTGGGCAACCACAGATAGAAATTGGCTAAGAGTCAGTTTTCTCTTCTGTCAAAAGAGAATTTCATATATTTGGCAGAGGTAGGTAAGAAACACAGATAGTATGTATATAAAGCCCTGGCACTGTGCCTAGCACAAAACAGGCACTCAACAAATGGTGCTATTATCAGTATAATAATTCTGTCTGTAAGAATTTAAACTTCTAAGGTATTACTGATCTTTTAGTCGTCAACGTATATGAATTTCAGATAAATTTTATTCAAAATAGGCTGTGAAGAACAGAGAACTAGAGGACATTTGAGTGTCTCAGACAAAAGGATAAATGGGGAAGAGAAAGGGTCAACTGAATGCTTAGGGGAAATAATTATACCTCAGTTGTGCTATATGAGCTATATTTGGGCTAAAGTGTTCTGAGTAGTGGTTGTAGCTTTTTCCTGTTTATGTCATAACTCAATTCAAGAGTCACAGGCAAGCGAGCACTTACCAGGTTGGATGGGATTGACCACTTGTTCAGGCTGAAAACAGAAGTTTGTATCTTCTGGCCAGTTTTGGCTATTTTGATATTCCTGGTAGGCCATATTCTCTTCAAAAAAATCTGCTGGAGACCCTTATAGCAGAAACAGGAAACTGAAGTTACAAGATACCACTGTTTTCTCCTCCATTAGAGTGAAGTTTCTACAAAGTATTATAGCTAGTACAATATAACGCAATCATGTCTAGTTCATGCCTTTCCAGAAAACCTTTTTTTTTATTTTTTTTTTATTTTTTTATTTTTTTCCTAAAAAAATAGGTATGGGAAACCTTTTTTTTTTTAAAAAAAGTGAGATATAGAAGGAGCTGTGTGTGGTGGTTCAGGCCTGTAGTCACAGTTACTCAGGAAGGAGGCAGGCTGAGGGGGGATCGCTTGAACCCAGGAGTCCGAGACTGTATGTGCAATGATTACACCTGTGAATAGCCACTGTACTGCAGCCTGGGTAACCTAGCAAGACACCATCTGTAATTACATAGATATATACATAAATGATAAAAGGAAATAGAGTATTGGAAGCACAAGGTTGTTATTAGGGTAAAAAAACACTACAGACAGACTTTGGTTATGTAGGCATGAAGAGGGTAGTGATTTCTCGCCACAAAAGAACAAGTATAAAGCAACCATTTGGGGCACTGGAATTAAAAAAAAGCCAGACCTAAATAAATGAAAAGATGTACTGTGTACCAGAATAGAAGATTCCATATTGTTAAGATGGCAATTCTCAAACTGACCAATAGGTTCAGGAAATTACAGTTAAAATCCTAGCAGAATTTTTTAAAAGATGTTAACAAGCTCATTTTATTTATATGGAAATGCAAAAAATCTAGAATAACCAAAATAATTTTGAAGAAAAATAAAGTTGGAGAATTTATATTACTTGATTTTAAAAGTTACCATAAATGTACCAACTCAGTGTGGTACTGACCACACACTTAGGTAAATGGAACAGAACAGAGTTCAGAAAGGAACCTACAGTTATGGTCAATGGCTTTCACCAAAGGTGACAGTGTAATTCAATAGGGAAAGGATAATTTTTTTTCAACAATGGTATAGAAATGACACTTACCTCATACCAGTAAAAAAAAATAAAATTTTAGGACCCTTTAAATTTATTATGCCAAGGGGAAGTTAAACCCTGGAGACCAAGTCACATAGCATGTTTGCAATTATGCTTCTTAGATGTAGATTAACTCTCCCTCATTGCTCTTGTTCTGTAAATGACTAGGAGACACCAGAGGTCAGACTTCCTCATTTGTAACCACTGACTTTTGTCTCTTGTGTTTTTGGTGTCATATCTAAGAAACCCTTAACTAATACAAGGCCACAAAAAATGTTTGACTATGTTTTCTTCTAAGAGTTTTATACTTTTACTGCTTGCCTTAGGTCTATGATCCATTTTGAATTATTATTTTTTTTTCTTTTTGAGACAGAGTGTTCTTGGCTAGAGTGCAATGGCATCATCATTGTTCACTGCAACTTCAAGCTCCTGGGCTCAAATGGTCTTCCTGCCTCAGCCTCCTGAGCAGCTGGGGCCGCGGGCGTGTGCTACCTCGCCCAGCTAATTTTTGGTAGAGATGGGGATCTCACTTTTGCTCAGGCTGGTCTTGAACTCCTGACTTCAAGCATTCCTCCAGTGTTGGCCTCCCAGAGTGCTAGGATTATAGGCGTGAGGCACCACACCCGGCCATGATCTGTAATTTTATGCCTAGGTATCTAAGAGAAATGAAAACACATGTCTACACTAAGACTAATACATGAAGTTTCACAGCAGCATTACTCATAATAGCTAAAACTTGGAAACAACTCAATGTTTATCAACCAGTGAATGGATAAATAAAATGTAATATACATATACAGTGGAATATTATTCAGCTGTAAATGGAAATGAACTACTGATAAATACTATAACATGGATAAACTCAAAAGCATTATGCTAAGTGAGAAAAGCAAGACACAGAATATATATTGCATGATTCCATTTACATGAAATTTCTAGCAAAGATAAAACTATGAAGACAGGAAACAGATGAGTGGTTGCCTGAGTCTGTAGATCAGAATGGGGATTGATTTTGTAAATGGGCAAAGGAACTTTTAGGGGGGGTAAATAAATATTGTAAAAATGGATTACAGTAATGACTGCACAACTCTGTAAGTTTACAAAAAATCATTTACTTGTACACTTATAATAGGTAAATTCTTTGGTATGTAAATTTATACCTCATTAAAGCTGTTTTTTAAAAAAGTCTAGACTCCAAGTTACTTTCAGTACACATCTTGTTAGGGGCTATGAACTTTTCTGGAGAAGAGAGGACAAGAAGGGCATTGAAGTGATGTGAAAAAGGAATTCTGGGCCGGGCGTGGTGGCTCACGCCTGTAACCCTAGCAATCTGGGAGGCCAAGGCGGGCGGATCACTCGAGGTCAGGAGTTCGAAACCAGCCTGAGCAAGAGTGAGACCCGTCTCTACTATAAATAGAAAAGAAATTGATTGGCCAACTAACGTATAGAGAAAAAATTAGCTGGGCATGGTGGTGCATGCCTGTAGTACCAGCTACTAGGGAGGCTGAGGCAGAAGGATTGCTTGAGCCCAGGAGTTTGAGTTGCTGTGAGCTAAGGCTGAGGCACGGCATCACTCTAGCCTGGACAACAAAGTGAGACTCTGTCTCAAAACAAAAACAAAAACAAAAACAGGCCGGGTGCAGTGGCTCACGCCTGTAATCCTAGCACTCTGGGAGGCCAAGGCGGGCGGATTGCTCGAGGTCAGGAGTTCAAAACCAGCCTGAGCCTGAGCGAGACCCCGTCTCTACTATAAATAGAAAGAAATTAATTGGCCAACTAATATATATCTATAGAAAAAATTAGCCGGGCATGGTGGCGCATGCCTGTAGTCCTAGCTACTCGGGAGCTGAGGCAGCAGGATTGCCTGAGCCCAGGAGACTGAGGTTGCTGTGAGCTAGGCTGATGCCACGGCACTCACTCTAGCCTGGGCAACAAAAGCGAGACTCTGTCTCAAAAAAAAAAAAAAAAGGAATTCTGAAAGAAGTTGTATTTTTTTGTTTTTCCTTTTTCTTTTTGTAGATAGGGTCTCACTCTGTCACCTAGGCTGTAGTATAGTGGCGCAGTCCTAGCTTACTGCAACCTCAAACTCATGGGCTCAAGTGATCCTTGTGCAACAGCCTCCCAAGTAGCTGGAACTATAGGCACATTCCACTACATCCAACTAATTTTAAAAAGAATTTTTTTCAGACATGAGGTCTCTCACTATGTTGCCCAGGCTGGTCTCCCTCAAGCAATCTTCCTGCCTTGGACTCCCAAAGTGCTGGAATTATAGGCATGAGACACTGTGCCTGGCCAGAAGGAAGTTTTGAGAGGCTGAATAGTCACAGTATTAAAGCTTGACATTTCTCCACTGCCTTATTGCTGGAAAAACAGACCAGGACTTTAAGAAGATGTACTTGGGAAGAGGATAAGGCTCAGCCACAGGGTACTTATAAAATGACCCATGGTTAATCCACCTACTACTAACCTCAAGGCAAACTGCAAGGGAAGTAACAAGACTATCCCTTCTTTATTACTAGCCAACTAATCAGGCTGCCTCTAAGTGAAAATTTTCTACTTGAAGTTTGCCCTTTATTGTCATGTTTCATAGAACCATTTAAATCTGATTTAAAGTACATGAAGTGGTTTGGGGAAAGAGGAGAAAAAAAGGAATGAAACAAGATAATTATTCCTAGATTTTTGCATTCCCTGGAATGTTCCTTCAGGAGAATCACCCAAAGGAATCTTAGAATAAGTCTGCAGATTTTTTTTCTATAAATGTTTTTATTTAAGCATAATAAATCTATAGGCTACAGGCATAATAAATCTATAGATTTATTTATTAACCTAGGGAATAGGTTATTCCCTAAGTCAACTCTTCATAAATGACAAAAGCATAAAGTAAATATGCTTCCTGTTAAGGTACAACTTGGGACCAGGAAGAAAAACAACAACATAGCAATACATTTCAGATATGGAGTTTACTACCACATATGCTGCAGAGGGACTTAAAGATCCTGGAACGTGGGTCCTGTAAATTTATATCTAAGCACCCCCAGAAGTTTTATTAAGCTATTTTTCATGACTGCAAGAATGGAAGGGGGATAACAGACTATATTTTTAATTAAGATATTTGAATTATCATTTTATAAGTAAAATTATTCTTACATAAGCAAAACACCTGATCCCTAAGAAACTTATTTGAAGGCAGAGTTAACATAATAAATGGCAAAGACTCCTGAGTCTTATGTGTCAACCTGAGCCTCTAGTAGGAGTTGTTTCTCTCTGGAGATCATGGGAGCTGTCCTGCACATAACTGAGAGGTTTCATTTGTTGGAAGTTATAAGAAAAGTAATCAATTCTTCAAAAGAGAGATGTTTTTCTAATTTTAGGCATTATCTGTCACAAGTGTCTTTTTAAGATGAAAACTTATCATAATTGTCTTTCATCAATAATAGTTTACAATGTATATAAAGATGTTCTTCATATGGTTATTCCCTATGTCAACTCTTAATAAATAACAATAGCATAAAGTAAATATGCCTCCTGTTAAGGTACAACTTGGGACCAGGGAGAAAAACAACAACATTGAAGTACATTTCAGATATGGAGTTTAATACCATATGGAATTTACTACCGTATATACTGCAGAGAGACTTAAAGATCCTGCAATGTGGGTCCTGTAAATTTATGTCTAAGCACCCCCAGATGTTTAAATGCATCATCTCTAACCCTTCAAAGTTGCCACTCACCCACCGCCTTCTTTTGGAACTCCCCAGTGTTCTTTCTCTATTCTGTCCCTCCTTTAGCTTAAGAGAGCCTCCTTAAATGGCATTTCAACACAAGTAAATTCCCCAGAGCTGACTGTGGTTGAATTAGGTTAATTATGTAATTTAATTTTCTGTAATCCTTTGCATGTACTCATCACCATTTCAGCAGACATGCAGGGCCAATTTTATATAGGTCATAAATTTGTTGTTAGACACTGCTAGAGAAGTAATTTCAAGGCAGACTGAAAGGACAGACTAAACACACTGGG